TTATCACATCCTTTTCCTTTCCCTAATTTCTCCAAAATCCTGCTCACTTCCGTACTTACCCAGCTCATGGTCTACCTCCTCCCAAAAAAGAACAATGAAAATCAAAACTGATTACTGACACAGCAGTAAGAAGAGGACCACTCTGAAATAGTAAGATCTGGAGTGGACAGGAACTCCACAAAGAGAGCAACAGAACCAGAAATTTGAACACAGGGGTCTGCCCAGAGACTCATGCCCCAACCAAGTACCAGGCATGGAGATAACTTAGAATCCCTGCACAGATGTAGCCCATGGCAGTTCGGTGTCCAAGTGGGTTCCATAGTAATTCGAAGAGGGACTGCCTCTGACATAAACTGATTGGCCGGGTCTTTGATCACCTTCCCTTGAGGGAGGAGCAGCCTTACCAGGCCACAGAAGATGACAATGCAGCCATTCCTGATGAGAACTGATAGACTAAGATCAGAGGGAAGGAGAGGGGGACCTCCCCTATCGGTGGACTTGGGGAGGGGCATGCGTGAAGAAGGGGGAGGGAGGATAGGATCGGGAGGGGAGGAGGAAGGGGCTTATGGGGGGATATAGAGTGAATAAAGTGTAATTAATCAAATAAAAAAAGAGGCCCACTCGTCTGCTGAAGCACATCCAGTTTGACAGGAAAGTCTTGTCCTTGGCAGTGGGGGACACTCTGCTTGGCTCTCATATCAGCAGAATGTCCAGCCTCAATAGATGTGCCTTGGCTTTGGAAAATAGGAAAAGAAGGAAAGGAAACAATGCTGGTCCTATTTGTATAGACTATGGCAAAATAAAATTTCTTGTTCTTATTTAACAGGGAGCTTAAAGTCAAGAGGATCCACAAGCAGAATCACAACCCCCAGGCATTTCTTGCCTACACTTTAGCCTCCTGACATGACACTGCTCTTCTGAATGGACAAGATCATTTCTCCCATTCTTCTATAGCTGTCTCTTATTCACAGTAGCTGTGTTATTATATTAAGAATCAAAAGTTGCAAGAAAATTAAGCCAACATGAATTAATATAAACTTCTGTACACAAAGACAGAAGACTTTGCTTGGTTGAAACAAAAACATTGGGATAAAAGGGTTAGTTATTTGTTTTGCCAGATGATCTACTGAAATTAACCCAGAAGCTTTTCTTGGATAAGTCCACACATGGGTCTGGCCACTGTATTGTAAATCATTGTGGAGGATGGAGAGGTTTCTATTTCAATCTTCTAACACCTCTCTAACAACAAAAAAGGTCTATGTATATTAATGTGCATTGCTTTTGGTATTTCTAAAAACATTGTTGTACTGAGACTCTCTAGAACGTGAATTTGTTACCTCTGATGTGATATCTTCCTTATTACTTATCAGTGAATTCTGCAAAAAAAACAAGTCAAACAAATTATAATTCCCAGTTACATCCAAGATTCACTGCTAAAGAAGAGTACAATTTTCCTACTGCCACACAGCCCAGCACAGGAAAAGGAAGACAGCAAGAGACCTACCCATAGCCATGACACACTAGTGATCTGTAGTCACCTAGATGCCTGCTTGCCACCCCATGCAGCACAGACAAACGGTGTCACCCAGAGGCCCACCAGCCTATGGACTGCATGTAGCAAGAGACATTACAATGTGCAAGTATGCAGATGACAGATGCGAGAAAAAGAGAAGCAGAACAGTTTTCAGCATTGTGAAGAGAGATGGAACTGGAGACTCAGGTGGAGAGAAGTAGGTCTGTTGTGAGTTGCCAGCCCCACCACCTGAGGCCATGGTGAAGACCCAGCCTGTGCTGCCAGTGAGGGCCATCTCTGGGTCCATAGCTATGCAGCAGCAGGGGTCAGTGTTGATGTCCATGGCTCATTATTACCACTAAAGAACATGGCGATGATGCATGGAGAAAACCTAGAACCTCTGCACAGATGTAGCCCATGGCAGCTCAGTCTCCAAGTGGGTTCCCTAGTAAGGGGTACAGGAACAGTCTCTGATATGAATTCAGTGGCTGGCTCTTTGATCACCTTCCTCTGGGGGGAGGTGGGAGCGGTGCAGCCTTGCCAGGCCACAGAGGAAGATGATGCAGCCAGTACTGATGAGACCTGATAGGCTAGGGTCAGAGGGTAGGGGAGGAGGACCTCCCCTATCAGTGGACTCGAGAAGGAGCATGGGAGAAGATGAGGGAGGAAGGGCAGGATTGGGAGGAAACAAGGAAGGGGCTACAGCTGGGATACAAAGTGAATAAATCATAATAATTAAAAAAAAATAAATAAATAAGTTATTAAAAGACAAAAGAACATGGTGAAGTCCCTAATTTCGGGACCACGAAGATGCCCAAGGGCTATGCAGAGCTGGTCCCACCTCTCACTCTCTGTGGCATTCTGGCCCCACTTCTCATCTGCTGCAGCATGCAGGAGAGCAGGCCCTGAACCTTGCCTGGGCAGCACAGTGGAGCTGGCTCTGGTGGTGGAGGTGCAGGTGAGCCCACATCAGAGCCTAAGTGTAAGATTGCTGACCACACCACTCATCTGCTGTGGGATGGCACAGGCACAAAGGTGATGTCCTCTCCCCGTTAGAGCTGTCCCTGCCCCTCACTGGCTGCCGCACTCCGGAGAGTGGGTCCTGCACTGTACAGCACAATGGAGTTGGTTCTGGAAGCATGGGTAAGTTGGCCCCTGGGGGCATGAGAACAGTGCCCTGCTGACCTGCCTCCTGAAGATGGCAGCACTGAGTGGTTCAGCCAGCACAGTGCTTGAGATCTCGCCCGGGTGCTGTGGATAAGAGAGAGCTGGCAGGCTGACCAGCTCAGCTACCACCCACACCCAAAATCTACATCATCTGTGAACTTCCAGGGCATATCAAAGGGCCAGTCCTGCTAATCCAAAGCTGCAAGCTCTTCCTGACACAGGGCAACGACAGCATAAGTAGAAGGAATCGGTGAGAATTTAGTATTGGTGGTATCACAGAAGCCAGAGGCCTCCAGCCAGACCAACGACTCACTGCAGTGAGCATCTGCAGTGAAGATGTGTGGATGGAGGGACACACTGTGACACACTGACACACTGCAGCGTCCAGGGCGAGAGGCTCTCTATGCTTGGTTTTGTTTTGTTTATTTTTGTTTGTTTGTTTGTATTGTCAGCGGGATGTTGCAAGGGCAGAGAGTGGATATAAGGGGACTGGAGATGAGTAGGACTGGGTACATGACGTGAGACTAGGAATTAATAAAAAGTTAGAGGAAAAAAGCGTATGATCACGAGAAATTCATCTCAGACTCAGGAGTTAAACATTGCAGCTGTTGGGGACTGGGTCCCACTCTGTTGGAAACTGACTATTTTTACAACTTGAAACAGTGGCCAAAGTACGGAACTACCCTTTTCACATATGGGAGACATTAATAAGTTCACTGTTTCACTTAGATTCTACTAAAATGAAACAAACTCTAATTCCAGCTATATACCCCTATTCCAATGATCTGAAAAGCCATGTTAGGCTATGCCCATGATATTGGCTGTGAGCATATAGAAAGAACATCTCTGCCATAGCAATGTTCCAGGGACAGCATCAACATAAGAAGATATGCAGCATAGGCAAAAGATACAATAACATTGGACAAGTCAACGTCATTGGTAACTAAAGAAGCCATAATTTTTAATCCTCAATGTTGCTGGCATCATCAGCCTCACACATATATTCTATTCTAGGTCTAGAGAATGGAGGAAGCAACTAGATTTCTAGAAGCTCTGGTTATCCATCATAACTCTGTTAAACTCAGAGTAGGATTCTCTTCGTTGTAAACTGTCATTGTTACTCAGTCAGACTTCTACAACTAAAGCGACATATAGGCTTCAGGGCTGTAAGGAACCCACGGCAGACGCATGAGTATCAACTCCTTTGAAACTCATTTAGTTCCAAGCTTTCTTTTCCTTCAGCTTTGCCTTGATGCCTGCTTCTGTTTTGTTGTTGTCTTGTATTTTTTGGGTTTGGTTTTGGTTTTTGGTGCTTTGCTTAAAATGATAATATAAATGGCCAGGCATATGAATTGATTTACTAGGAACTCAGCTACATTCAGCATTGTTTTCTGAATTATTCATAGAATCACATGCTCCTTACACTTAATTCATTCATTTATCAAGAAATATTTTTGTAGCTGAAATCATGACATTTAAAAAAAAATGAGTGGGAGTGGAAATTATTATGTTAGTAGAACCAAGCATGACTCAAAAAGACAAACGCCTGTGTGCTCTCTCCTATGCAGTATTTGTGCATTAACCTTATGAAGAGGATCATGAAAGGGCAGAGAACAGATAGAGGTAAAAAGAGAGGGTAATGGAATTTATGCCATGAAACCTAAGGAGGGGACTCTCTGGGGAGAGAAAGAACACTAGACAGAGGAGGTAAAGGGTGCTGGGGAGGAATGTGAAGGAGATGCGCATATTAGAACTAAGCATCATGACACTGTGTATGGAAATGCCATCATGAAACCAGTCATTTGCCTGCAAACTTAAACATGAAAAAAATCTTATTTCTGATGTTTTGTTTATTGCTGAGGAAGCAAAAAGCAATCAAATGAAACTTTGCCTTAATGTTCCTAGTCTTTTGTCTTCATGAAGTATTTATATTTTAGTATAAAGTGAAATTAATATGAGAGGAATATTTTGACTTTAATAACATATCCCAGATATAACAAAGCAATCATCACTAAGATAGACATTTCTTATTTTTTTTAATTTCCTCTATCTTATCACTGCTTGGTCCTAAACAAAAGCCCTGTGGATATTACATTGGTTCTCAGAGAAACCTTTAAATTTTTCCTAAAATATGGAGTGAAATGATCACAAAACAGTCTACCATCTGCCCAAGCTTACATGCTAAGTGGAGATCCTAGAAATAAGAGTAATAACCATGGAAGGAAAAAACAAGCTCTGTAGTAAAGCAGAGAGAGAGCAAGCTTTAATTATTAACTAGTGTAGCAGGAGGAAAAAGACGTCAGTGCAACACAGTTCAGCTCTCAGTGCATACAGTTGAGTGGAGACTTACAGCCAAGAAGCAGAGTGGGTCACTGAGTGAGAGCTAACTCGAGTGAACCAAAAAGAAGGTGTGTTCTTCTGGCCAGCCGTCCTGGCAGAGTTCTTACTAATAGCTGGCCAAGATGGCCAGATCGCAGAGTAAGAGGCGCAGGGCTCAGCCTACAATCACGCCGAAGTCTTGGAAGTATGATCCCAGGAACTGCACCCAAATCTTGTATGCAGTGAGATGCTGGAATGCAGCTGAGGAAAACGGGGGTAAAGCTTGGAAGGTGAGGAAGAGGAGAAATCCCTCCATTGGACTCAAACTAGTGATGATTCTCCAAAATCTGATCCTCATGGGACAGCTAAGTAAACTCTGTTTCCTGTTCTGGGAGGGAAATATGTGTGTTGGCCTGCCCTGAGAAGAGGTCGCTGTTGACTGGGCTCTAACAATGGTGTCTCAGTGACAACAAAGGAAAAGTCACTAGGAGGAAGGAAAAAGGCACAGGTCAACCTGATATGGTTGGATGGTATTAAAGGGTCAGATAATGTCAGTCATTTCATTTTAGGTAATGCATCTCTATAGAATGAAAAGGCAAATTGTCTTATTATTGCCAGAAAAACTGGGGAGAATAATAATAATAATAAATGCAGTACACTATCAGTGGCGGGAGGCCTCCGTCACATTCAGGAAGGAGACAGGAGTCTAATGGCCTCTGCTCAGCATTTTGACTCTGCTTCAAAGGGATTAGGAAAATAAGAAGGTATTACCACTTTAAATAGGAAATGAAATGATGTATCAATCATGTGTTTCTTTCCCTCTTGGAACCTCACAAAATTACATAAAATGCAGCTATCAACAGAATATTCTAATGTACAGAGATGATTCCTCTACAGAGAAAGACCAGCATGTAGTTTGCAAGAGGGAGATTGTACATGAGCTTTTCTATTCGAAAAATAATAAAAGTTACATTGCATTGAAGAAAATGGGAGACAAGTAAGAGAGGTTCACCAGCTGTCCCTTTAATTTGCCTAATTTTGCTCTTACTTTCTTTTAAAAAATACATAATTTTTTTCTTCTTTCTGTACAAATTCATGTTCATATATAAATGGCCTATAGTCAGTACATCGCCTCATTAATTTCAAACATGATTTTCAAAACTATTTCCATAAAATACATGAAGTTTCTTTCCTGTTTTCTTCTGGCCGATTAACTATTTTCAGTGATCTTATTTATTCAACCCTTGTTCATATGCTTTCAATGTTTTATTAGAATGGGAAGGCAATGCACTGTTTTCCCCAAGACAACTCAGAATTAGTTTAAGAAACAAGTCATATACAGATGGGTCACCAAATACAAGTTCTTCAGAGGTTCTCTGGACTCCCATTTCCTGTTAACAATAATAATGAGGAAAAGTATCCTTTGTTTTTATTTTAAAAAAACCGTACTCAATGTGGTGCTAACATACAGAGAATGCTGGTGAAAAATTCTATACAAAATGAAAAATAGATGAAAGCTGTGAGAGTCAGAAGCAAAAATGACACGTTATATTTTAGAAGACAGTGAACCAGTCTGATCAAAGGCAAACAGTTTCTTAAACGTTCTTAGTCACTGAGTTGTACCAACTTCATATTCAGAATGTTTAGTACTGGAGTTAGTTCCCTTGCAAGGCTGAAATACTCTCACTTATAGAAATGTATAGATGGAATGCATAGGTATAGTTGGAGACAACTATACCTTATGTGTTTTAGAATCTTTACAATCTAGGAGAGCAGAGCAGTGAATGCTTCATGCTCAGAGTCTGCCCTGTCCAAGAGTTGTGATGAGGAGAAAATAGGGATAGAAAACCATCTCTGCTGCTTCAGTCATGTGTGGAGTGTGACCTAAACATACAGCCTCCTTACCCAGTACTCTGCAGTGTTACAGAGCTGTTTCACAAGCTTGTTTCTTGTTGTCATGAACACATTTAAATATCACAAAAGAATTAGGGTAACGCACAAGTTAACACCTTTGCAAATACGAACATCTGGAATGTGTGCACTGTCTTTTCTCAGCTTGCTGTAAATTGTCAAGGCAAACTTTGTGTGCATGTGCACGCACACGCACACGTGAGCCTGTGCACATGCATGTATGAGTGTGTGCTAGAGACAGAACCCAGGGCCTTGCACATGCAGAATAAGCCATATACTGATACCCAGGCCTTTTAAATTTTTGTCTTGGATAGGATGATCTGAAAGTCAGGTTGTATCCCAGGTAGAGCTGTGATACATTATCCTCCTGACCGACACTCTGGTTAGCCAGGATTGTGGTTGTTCTATCCCACAGTTGTAATAGACAGTCCTTATACAGTTCTACATCACAGTTCTTATATAGAGTTCTATACTACAGTTCTATACCGTGTTATACCACAGTTCTTTTTAACTAAATTTTTATTTTTTATATTAATTACAGTTTATTCACATGGTATCCCAGCTGTAGTATACCACAGTTCTTATATACAGTTCTGTAGCACAGTTTTTATAAACAGTTCTATATTACAGTTCTTTTTAATTTAATTATTTTTATTTTATTAATTACAGTTTATTCACTTTGTATCACCCCTGTACCTGCTTACCTCCTCCCCTTCCAATCCCACTCTCCCTCTTCCCCACCTGTGTCCCTCCCCAAGTCCACTGATAAGGGAGGTCCTCCTCCCCTTCCCTATGATCCCAGTCTATCAGGTCTCATCAGGAGTTGCTACATTGTCTTCTTCTGTGACCTGCTAAGGCTGTCCCCCCTCAGAGGGAGGTGATCAAAGAGCAGGCCAATCAGTTCCTGTCAGAGACAGTCCCTGTCTCCATTACTGTGGAGCCCACTTGGACTCTGAACTGTCATAGGCTACCTCTGTGCAGGGGTTCCAGGCCATCTCCATGAGTGTTCCTTGGCTGGAGTTTCAGTCTCAGAAAAGACCCCTGTGTCCAGACTTTTTGGATCTGTTGCTCCTGTCCTCTCCAAGTCTTACTATCTCCCACTTCTTTCATAAAATTCCCTGCACTCTGCCAAAAGTTTGGCTATGAGTCTCAGCATCTGCCTCCATACCCTGCAGGGTAGAACCTTTCAGAGGCCCTGTGTGGCAGGCTTCTGTACTGTTCCCTGTTTTTTCCCTCCTCAAATGTCCATCCTCTTTGCCTTTCTGAATGGAGATTGAGCATCTTAGCCAGTGTTCTCCATCCTGGTTAGCTTCCTTAGGTGTACATATTTTAGTAGGTTTATCCTATGTTATATGTCTAGTATCCACTTATGAGTGTGTATATACCATGTGTGTCTTTCTGCTTCTGGGATCCCTCACTCAGGATGATCTTTTCCAGTTTCCACCATTTACCTGAAATTTTCATGATTTCCTTTTTTTATGGCTGAGTAATATTCATTGTGTATATGTACCACAATTTTTTTATCCATTCCTCAACTGAGGGGCATCTGGGCTATTTCCAGGTTCTGGCTATTACAAATAAAGCTGCTACAAACATGGTTGAGCAGATGTCCTTGAAGTCTAAGTAGATCAAAGATTTCAATATAAAACCAGACACTCTACATCTGTTAGAAGAAAAGGTGGGAAAGAGCCATGAACTCATTGGCACAGAGGCAACTTCCTGAACAGAACACCAACAGCACAGGCTCTAAGAGCAACAATCAATAAATGGGACCTCATGAAACTGAAAAGATTCTGTAAAGCAAAGGACACTGTCATCAAAACAAAACGCCTGCCTACAGATTGGGAAAGAATCTTCACCAACCCTTTATCTGACAGAGGACTAATATCCAGTATATATAAAGAACTCAAGAAGTTAAACAGCAATGAATCGAGTAATCTGAGAAACACTTAAAAAAAATGTTCAGCTTCCTTAGTCATTAGGGAAATGCAAATCAAAACGATCCTGAAATTTCACCTGACACCCATCAAAATGGCTGAGATTAATAACTCAAGTGACAACACATGCTGGAAAGGCTGTGAAGAAAGGGGAACCCTCCTCCACTGCTGGTGGGAATATAAACTTGTACAACCACTTTGGAAATCAGTCTGGCACTATCTCAGTTATGAATAGAGATTCCTCAAGATCCAGCTATACCACTCTAGGCATATATCCAAAAGATGCTCAAGTATACCACAGTTCTTATAGACAATATTTTACCACAGTTCTTTTTTAATTAAATTTTTATTTTTATTTTTTACATTAATTACATTTTATTTGCTTTGTATCCCAGCTGTAGCATCCTCGCTCATTCCCTCCCAATCCCACCCTACCTCCCTCATCTCCTCCCATGCCCCTCCCTAAGTCCACTGATAAGGGAGGTCCTCCTCCCCTTCCCTCTGACCATAGCTCATCAGGACTGGCTACATTGTCCTCCTCTGTGGCCTGGCAAGGCTGCTTCTCACTCGGGGGTGGGGGGGAAGGGTCATCAAAGAGCCAGCTACTGAGTTCATAACAGTTCCTGTTCCCCTTACTAGTGAAACCACTTGGATACTGAGCTGCCATGGGCTACATCTGAGCAGGTTTCTAGGTTATATCCATGAAAGGTCTTTGGTTGGAGAATCAGTGTCAGAAAAGACCCCTGTGCCCAGATATATTTGGTCCTTGTGGAGCTCCTGTCCTCTCCAGGTCTTACTAACTCTCTCTTCTTTCATATGATTCCCTGCACTCTGCCAAAAGTTTGGTTATAAGTCTCAGCATCTGCTTTGATACACTTCTAGGTAGAGTCTTTCAAAGGCCCTCTGTGGTAGGCTTCTGTCCTGTTTCTTGTTTTTTCCTTCTTCCAATGTCCATCCCATTTGTCTTTCTAAGTGAGGATTGATCATCCTACTCAGGGACCCCCTTCTTGCTTAGCTTCTTTTTTATTTTTTTATTTTTTTAATATTAATTATAGTTTATTAACGTTATATCCCAGCTGTATCCCGCTCCCTCATTCCCTCCCAATTCCACCCTCCCTCCCTCTTCACCTACCATGCCCCTTTCCAAGTCCACTGATAAGGGAGGACCTCCTTCCCTTTCATCTGACCCTGGTTTATCAGGTATCTTCAGGACTGGCTGTAAAGTCTTCCTCTGTGGCCTAGCAGGGCTGCTCTTCCCTCAGAGGAAGGGGGAGATTCAAAGAGCCCACCATTGAGTTCCTGTCAGAAATAGTCCCTGTTCCCCTTACTAGGATACCCACTTGGATACTGGGCTACCGTGGGCTAGATTTCAGTATGTTTATCCTATCTTATAGGTCTAGTATCCATTTATAAGTACGTATATACCATATGTGTCTCTCTGCTTCTGGGATACCTTACTCAGCATGATCTTTTCAGATTCCACCATTTGCCTGTAAATTTCATGATTTCCTTGTTTTTAATTGCTGAGTACTATTCCACTGTGTAAATGTACCACAATTTGCATTCCTCTGTAGAGGGAGATCTGGGTTGTTTCCAGGTTCTGGCTATTACGAATAAAGCTGCCACAAGCATGGTTGAGCAAATGTCCTTATTGTGTACTTGAGCATTTTACCAGAGTTCTTAGAGACAGTTCTATACCACAGTTCTTATATGCAGTTCTATAGACACTTCTTAGAGACAGCTCTATACCACAGTTATTATATACAGCTCTTATCCAAGGCCAAGCTTTAAACCTTGCCTTGGGATACCATATGTGCTCAGGCACAAGTTCCACCCTCACTGGTTGAATTCTGGGTGTGCATCGCCCAGCTGGTGAGGTCACTGCTGTCATTCCCCATAGGTTCTTCTCCTTTAAGTTGCATCACTCTAATGCAAGGATGGTTTAATCATTCCAATTTGCTATAAAACCAATAGTTTAAAATATTAGATGTCTATGCTTTTCTGTCAGGATCTCAGTACTCTTGCCATGCCCTTCTCCTTGGCAATTACACTATACATTTTTGACATTATTAACAACAGGTCAAACAGCCATCATTCCTAGCACTGCAGGGAATGCCAGTTTCATTGTCTTTTACTCACTACATTTTAAAATAAGTACATGAAGATGTAGTTGAGGTACATTTCTTCCTGCTCAGTGATGATCTAGTGCAGTAAAACAGGCTTCATGTTGGCGTGTTTCTTCCGCTGGCTGGTCAGTATATTGCAGGTCCCAGATGTTTTTCGCTGAAAGGTGCTCAAGGCACTACTACTTTGCCAACAATAGAAAGCCTCTGGCTTTGGAGGATTCATTCTTCACATGTTGATCTCCTTCTCTGTGGTCTATCACCAAGATCAGCATTCTACAAAAATGATCAGACCTTGTTCAACTCTATAGCTACCATTGAGCTGTATGTACGGAATACTATTAGAACTCAAGAGCCAAGGTAAATTGGTGTGTCTCTCCCCTTTGAAAAATATAAATAATGATCACTTAAGAGTGAGAAAGAAACAGAAGTGTGGAGTTCTAATTAAAATTTGAAGAGTTTATTATCTTATAAAGATTAATAGCATGGCTGAAACTGTATTTCAAAAGGGATTGTTAATTTTCCTTAATTTAGAGTTAAATCTCAAAGTATATTTTATTCATACTCAGAAAAGGATAAATGGAAGATCAAAAAGCAATAACGCAGACCTCACCAGTGCCCAGCCCCCGAGGGAACCATTGCAACTGCATTTTTTATGCGAGCCAAACTTTCCCTTTTAGTATTCATGAAAACTTAGCAAATACCCACATCGAATCGATTTCAGGAACATATATCCTTTGCTCTCTGCCTGAACTGTGAAGCTCAAGTGTGATTATCTGACACTGGAAGGCCTTTCCATCCCATCTTTCTTAAAAGCAACTGTACTGAACAAGTAAATGGGCAGCTGCTGGAATCCCCCATCCCAGAGCTACACAGGTCTTGCTATTCATCTTCTCTCATCCACACAACACTCGTTCTATTTCAAAGTAAGCTCTGGGGCTATGGGAGAAACTTCAAGTGCAATGAACAGAAACCACTTCACTTGTTAGACAAGCGGATACTCAAGGTGCTGGAAAACAGAAAGTTAATAGAAGGTAGCATTTGCTCTCAGTAAATCACCTTTAAGTTTAACACCTTAAAAGGGCCTATCAGGCATCTTGCCTTGTGTGTCATTATGTCACTCATGAGTTTCATTATGACTCACTGACTGAGAAAGACAATGCAAGCTTGAGCAGCAGCTATTTATTTTCACTTTGTAAGACAGACAGTTAAGAGATAACTTGTTCAAAGGAAAGCAAAAGGCACTCAAATGTCATAGGCTTAAGATAAGCCAGCTGGCACAGCAAGCACTCCAGGCAGGCTACAATTTATAATTCAGTGTTGGAATATTTATCATTAGGATGTCCAACTTCCCGGAGCAAACATTTATTGTTTGCCAGTGAGAGAAGCCAAAATACTATTACATTCCGCAGAGGGGTTGCAAAAGGATAAAAGGCTAAACAACCCATCTTCTCCAAACTCTCCATTTGTCAGTAGTGGCTACAGGGAGAAGCCACTTGCCAGTGCCTGGGATAGGCCATGATTTGTAGTGTAAGAATTTAGCCAATAAGTCTAGGAATCTTGACAAGGCGTTCTTTCTTTTCATTTATTTTTTATTCTTATTTACTTTTTAAATTTGTTGATATTTCATCATCTTGTACATGTGTAAATGTGTAATCACTTTACCCCTATTACTCTCTTACCTTCTCAGTACCTACACCCAACTCCTCTTTTCCGACTATTCCTCCCCCTACTTTATGTAGCCAATGTTCAGATAGCCACAGCTGCTGAGTGTGCAATGGCCATGTCACATCCATATCCATCACACTCAGAGCACTCTAGCTCTTACAGTTTTCTCACTCATCTTCAGTGATGTTCCCTGGACCTAGAAGTAGATGCTAGAGATGTCCTGTTTAGGGCTTAACACTCAACAGTCACTTATTCACAGCAAACAAATAATCATTTGAATAGAAAGTATTAGTCTCTATAATGCCTTCTCTAAAATAGATTCACATGCGTGTGTAATTTTCTATGATTCATGCTAGCCCAGGTTATCAGAGTCAATCTTGCCACCACTCAGCAAAGCAGAAATTAGATAGCCAACCATTGTCAGGAGACAGGATGTTCAGATGTTTACAGCACAGAATGCTGAAATACAGAGCAGGGTGAGCTTGCACAGCCAGCAAGGATTCAGACACTCCACAGTTGGAGCAAGGACCTCGTGAGTAAATGATAGAAATGTTTAACACTCTTGTCCTACTTTTGAATGTTTGCTCCAGTCTCTAACAATCCTAAAATTCAAATTTCTACTGAACTGATTAACTACAAGATTAAGAGTAAAATATCCTGCCACTCACAGTGAGAAGACGAACTGCAGGTGGAAAATAAGAAGACCAAAAGAAAACAGCATGCTACACAGTTTGGAAGTAAGATTCAGGAAACTCAACATTCACTGTTAATTTTTGCATGAAACCCTTATATTGTTTTCTTTTCTGTCTCTAGCCAGCTGTGCTTTTTAATGGGACAATTATCTGCTATTCTCGTTTATCCCAATTATTTCTTTAAAAAAAAAAAACCTTCTACAGGATTTTATAGTCAAGTTTGCTGTTTAAGAAAATTTATCTACTCTCTAGATTGCCCCATGTGGCACCCACAATGCTGTTTAGATGATGTGTAATGACATTATTCCTGATTATTAATAACAGTCATGTTAACAAGCAAAGATATAGATTCTTTATAGCTTTGTTTTGAGTAGAAACAATGGGAGCAAAACGCAAGATGAGAGAGGGAAGTTTGGTGTGGGTTAGGACACAGCAGAAGCAGTTTCCAAAGGTGGGGACGGACGGGCCCAAGGGAAGCCTGGGGTCAGTGCAGCTGTGGCTCTCAGACACCTACGCCATCAAGGAGCTTGTTAAGCGAGCACACTCTACAGAGGAATACAGGAGCTGCTGCCTCCTTTATCACTTTAAAGGAAACAGGATTTACAATGTGATGAACACTATGGGCATTGACTTTAGTCAAGAGAATTTTTTTTTTTAGATTTTTATAAGCCTTGATACAGTGGGGCTGAGCAGATAATTAACCCTCTAAACTGTCTTGTTCACCCCCAGCTAAAATTCCCATCAATCCTTACACATGTTTCCATTCGGGCTGCTTCTCTCCATCATGTCGATCCTCAGAGCATGCTCTCCCCGGCCGGCCATCTGCTTCTATTTCAAAATAACCCATGGTGGCCTGCTCCTTTTTTCCTCCTTCCTTTCCTCCTTCTGGTCCTTCTGCAACACCACAAAGCCCACAAATGTAGGCTCCGCCTACCTCTCCCCTGCCCAGCTGAGGTGCAGTCAACTTTATTTGCCAATCAGGGACAATTTGGGAGGCAAGGTTTTGCAACCTCCAAGATAATTTTTTTTTTTTAAATATAAGCCATTTACACTTCAGGCACAAGGCACTCTGGTGTGTTGGGGGAGGAGGGATGTCACATGAGCTTTTTTTTGTTCTTATTTTGTTTTGATTTTAAACTTTTAAAATTTATTTACTTATTCACTTTACATCCTGATTGCAGACGCCATCCTCCTAGTCTCCTGTTCGCACAGCACACCTTCATCCCCATCTCCCTTCTCTAAGAAGACCTAAAGAATCAACTAACCTTGGCCAGTGGGGCCTTACAGTAACTGACCCACCAATCAAAGAGCAAGCATGGACTGGTCCTGGGCTCCCTGTATGTGTGTAGCAGATGTGCATCTTGGTCTTCATGTGGATCTCCCAATAACTGGAGCAGGGGCTTCTCTGACTTTGTGTAGTTGTTGTTGTTTCGTTTTTGTTGTGTTAATGAGGTTATTTTAATAACAGAGTCCTCTGTTAGTTCACAACTTTGTGTAGTTGTCGTTGTTTCGTTTTTGTTGTGTTAATGAGGTTATTTTAATAAAAGAATTCTCTGTTAGTTCACTTGGGTCAATGAAATCAATGGGTAAAGATATTTGCTGTCTCCATTTATTTTTATTTTTATTCATTACAGTTTATTCTCTTTGTTTCCCAGCTGTAGCTCCCTCCCTCCTCTTCTCCCAATCCCACCCTCCCTCCCCCTTCTCCACCAATGCCCCTCCCCCAGTCCACTGGTAGGGGAGGTCTTCCTCCCCTTCCTTCTGAAACTAGTTTATCAGGTGTCATCAGGAGTGGCTCCATTGTCTTCCTCTGTGGACCGATAAGGCTGCACTCCCTCTCCCCCAGAGAGGGGTGATCAAAGAGCAGGCCAATCAGTTCATGTTAGAGACAGTTCCTGTTCCCATTACTATGAAACACACTTGGACACTGAACTTCCATGGGCTACATCTGTTCAGGGGTTCTAGGTTATCTCCATGAATGGTCCTTGTTTGGAAAATCAGTCTCAGAAAATACCCCTGTGCCCAGATATTTTCGTTTTGTTGCTCTCTCCTATCTTCTTCAGGTCTTACTATTTCCTACTTCTTTCGTAAGATTCCCTGTACTCTGCCCAAAGTTTGGCTATAAGCCTCAGCATCTGCTTCAATACCCTGCAGGGTAGAGCTTTTTAGTGGCCCTCTGTGGTAGGCTCCTGTCCTGTTCCCTGTTTTCTCCCTCTTTTGATGTCCATCCTCTTTGCCTTTCTGAATGAGGATTGAGCATCTTAGCTAGAGTCCTCCTTCTTGATTAGTTTCTTTATGTATACAGATATTAGTATGTCTATCCAATATTATATGTCTAATATCCACTTATGAGTAATTATATACCCTGTTGCCTTTCTGCTTCTGGGTTACCTCACTCAGGATGATCTTTTCCAGTTCCCACCATTTGTTTGCAAATTTCATGATTTCCTTGTTTTTAATTGCTGAGTAATATTCCATTGTGTAATGTACCACAATTTCTGTATCCATTCCTCAACTGAGGGGCATCTGGGTCGTTTCCCTATCAGAATGGCTAAGATCAAAAACTCAAGTGACAACACATGCTGGAGAGTATGGAGAAAGGGGAACCCTTCTCCACTGCTGGTGGGAATGTAAACTTGTACAACCACTCTGGGAATCAGACAACTAGGCACTTTCTCAGACAAATAGGAATAGTGATACCTAAAGATCCAGCTATACCACTGCTAGGCATATATCCAAAAGACGTTCAAGTATACAACAAGGGCATTTGCTCAACCATGTTTGTAGCAGCTTTATTTGTAATAACCAGAAGCTGGAAACAACCCAGATGCCCCTCAGTTGGGGAATGGCTGTCTCCAAATTTTAACATCATAATTTTGTTTTAAAATTTTATTTTGAGAATTAGTATTGAAGATATTAGATTTTCATTTGTCATCTTTGAGTATATTTGATTTTCTTGATTCTCTGTCCCTGCTCTTTCTCGTCCTTCTGTGCCTAATCTGTGTCCTTCCACTCTTTTCTTTCCTCATGTCATACGCTTTAATATCCTCTAGTCCCTCTTTTCTTCCTCATTGTCCTTCCTTACTTCATGATTTATATCCACACTTATTACCACACATATATACATTAGAAACTAGGATCCAAAAAAAAAAAAAAAAAAGAAACTAGGATCCAAATCAGTAAGAATATGTGGTATTTATCTTTCTGAGTCTGTGTCACCTTAATAAAAATACAGTAATTTCTAGATCCATCCATATTGCTGACAAATTTCACAGTTTTTATTGTTCTTTAGTTGAATAAAATTCCACTGTGTGTATGTATCACATTTTTGCTTTCCTTCATCTGTTGATGGACATCTATTTGGCATTTTCTTTTAATGGATTATTCATACCTCTGTAAAAGTGACTGTCCTGGTTTGTCTCATTATCCCCTCTTCTTTAAATGGAAAGAGAAAGACAGAGCAAAACAAAACAAAAAAAAAAAAAAAAAAACCAAAACATCAAGTTCCTGTTGTAAATAGCCCCCAACATGACTCTGGTGCGGGCATGCTTATCTGTTTCATTATTCATCACATTCTCTAGTTGAACCTACATTTTCTATTTTTAAAAGTGTCCTGGAAAAGTCAGCTTAAATCATAACTGGCCCTCAGTGCTCACCTGGAGAGAAGCAGAAAGCAGGTTCACCATCAAAATGCCCTGGGAAATAAAGGAATGGCCTACTTCTCACCAAATCTAATGGCACTTTTTTTCAATTTTCATTCTCCTTTTTTTTTTCATTTCAAACTGTTTAACACCCACTCTCTCCTGAAGTACCTTCTTGTCTTGCCCACAAACCCCAAACTTCATCTTCTAGCCTTCAAGCACAGTTCCTCACCCACTCAACGCTGCACAAGGGCCTCATTCCTTTCCCAGCCTCCACGTGGGCACTTCTCCCAAATCCAATCTTCTGTTTGCCACTCTTCTTATACCTGTAAGAAAGTCCATCCTTGATCTCATCTGTTATCTCCTCTGAGTATTTGTAAATCAAATCTTTCTCGACAGCTCATCTTTCATCTGATTCCAGGGCTTCATCTTTCTTTTTATATCACAGGTATTTCTCCAGGAAAAAGAATGGGGTTGTCATTTTCACACCCAAATGATTAGTTCTTCATGGGTTTTATTTTGTCTTCATCCTCCATAATATAGCAATGCCTGGAAATGTAGGCAAGACAGAAGGGACAGACAAGTAACACAAGTTCCATGACTACATCACTGTGTCTATTTTTAAATCAAAATTGCTAAGGGTTCATGCATCCATAGATATTCTGGTTTCTGTGAATATTCTTCATATGAGTCATATACCTCAAAATTCTGTACCTCCTCCTCTTGACCTTAAAATCAGAAGGTCAATCTAAATACATGATTTTCAGGTGGGAATCAATTAGCACAGAAGTTTCCTGGAAGAAAACATTCTAATTCAATTATAAATTAAAGTTGATTCATGATAGTACATTATAAACTTCTGCTACCCTATTCTTAGAAAGTTTCAAATGGTCCCTTGTAAATAGCTCGCTTTTTTTAATAATGGGAAGCAGAATCTCAGCAGACAGCCAATGTGTAAAAGTCTCATGAGTCGTTGCCCTGAAATCACAATTCACCAGAGTTCTACCTCTCCCATATTGACCTAAGAAAGTGTCCTAGTTTGCAAAGTATCCACAAATATTCAACTTTAACTTTTATTAAATGTGAACAAGCCAACATTTACAGAGCAGATGCTAGATGCTCAAAAATAAGTATGGTAGGACACCCATTTCTTAAGTGTTGATCCTGATGTCTGTGCTGTCGGAGCTCTGCTCAGAACGTGATCTCCTATGCCAACGCAGCCAAGGCTATTCCCCAATTTCTCTTCTATCAGGTTCAGTGACTCTTTTGTGAACAGCAAGTTGATAGTTCAGGCACTAAGATCAACAATTAATAAATGATACCTTAAGAAACTGAAAAGCTTACCTAATGTAAGGCAAAAGACACATCAGGTGGGCAAAGCAACAGCCTACAGAATGGATAAAGATTTTTAACAATGCCACATCTGATACAGGACTAATATCCAAGATATACGAAGAACTCAGGAAACTAGATATAAAAAAAAGTAATCTCTTTTTTTAAAAATGGACTATTGATGAGGGAGGGGGCTACAACTGGGATACAATGTGAATAAACTGCAATTAATAAAAAAATAACTTTTAAAAATGAGCTATTAGATCTAAACAGAATTTTCAATAGAGGAAATTCAAATGGCTGGGAAACACTTAAAAAAATAATCAAAACATCCTTACCCACCAGGGAAACGCAGATCAAAACTATTTTGAAATTTTACCTTAGACCTGCTAGAATAACTGAGGTCAATAGCAAAAGCTCTGCTGGTGAGGGTGTGGAGCAAGTGGAATACTCCTCCATTGCTGATGGGCGTGAAAACCTGTACAGCCACTGTGGAAATCAACATGACAGTTCCTCAGAAAACTGGGAGCCAGTCTACCTCGAGACCCAGCTATACCGCTCCTGGGCCTATCCCCAAGAGATACCCATAAGGACACTTTCTCAACTATGTTCATAGCAGCTATATTCATAATAGCCAGAAACCGGAAACAACCTTCATGTCTCTCAACTAAGGAATGGATAAAGAAAACATGCTACACTTACACAATAGAGTAATACTCAGCTGTTAAAGAAAAAAAAATAAATGACATCATGAAATTTGCAGACAAATGGATAGAACTAGAAAAAAAAATAATCCTGAGTGAGGTAACCAAACCCAGAAAGAGAAATACTATATGTATTTCCTTTAAGTGGACAGTAGCTGTTAAGTAAATAATAACCACCTACAGTCTATAGATCCAGAGAAGTTAAGTAAAGAGGAGGGTCTATGAGAGACAGTTGTACCTCTGTAGGAGGGGAATTGAAGTAGATTTTTCAGATGCACTGTGAGCAGACAGGACAGGAGCAGCAGCATGGGGGAGGGCAGTGCGGTAATATTCAGCCAGGAGCACGGTAGAGAGGAGGGAGAGACAGCTGGAATTGTGGAGGGGGGGTTGTGTGTAAACCTTGTGTGTAAACCTAGTTCTGAATGTGTGAAGGTGATCCTCATGAGGACTCCATTACAGGGATGTCAGAGTCTCAGCTGGCACCTCTTACAGCCAGGCAAAGCCTCCAATGGTGGGACTAGGCTGCCTTCTACAAGAGGAAGCACAGACTTTATCAAAGTGGCTGCTCTTGGGACTACGCTCGTCCTTCTGTTTTCCCATGTTCAACTTTGATATGATGGTTTGTTTTATCACTTGTGGTTTTGTCTCTTGGAGGCCTGTTCTTTTCTGGTGAAAAACAGGAAGAGAGTGTATCCAGAGAGAGGATGAAGAGGGGAGAAAATGGGAGGAATGGAGAAAGGGAAAATCTGTGATTAGGGTGTGCTGTATGAGAAAGGAACCTATTTTCAATAAAATAAAAATAAAGAATAAATATATAAAAAGAGCTTAAGGGAATTTATAACGGCTAAGCCAGCTTTACAAAAGATTCTAGAA